AAGTAAAGCTATAACTAAAACTAAAGAAATATAAATTCTATATTTAAGAAATAGATTTTTTAAGACACTAAATCATGATCTATAGAATTAAAATAGATAAGAATAAGATATAGGTAATCTAGGATTAGCCTATACTAACTAATATAAAAGAACTATAATAGTTTATAGAATTAATAAATTACTATTAATAATATCTATATAAATATATAAATAATATAGGACTACTATTTAAACTTATAAAAAAGACTACTAAATAGAAATAAGAAAAAGAATAGGAGGAAGTATTTAAAAAAATTAAATATTAAATTATAATAGTATTAATAATAGTATAATATAACCTAAAAAAAGTAATAATAATTAAATCTAATATATTAGATTTTATAATTAAGGTAAGGATAATATAACCTAATAGTAAAGAAAAAAAAAGACCTATTACTTTTTAATTAAGATAACTTAATCTAGTAGAACTAAACTATAATATTTATAATAAAGAATTATTAGTAATTATTATAGTCTTTAAATAATAGAGAGTATATCTTAAAGGAGTATAATATATAATTATTATAAAATTAGACTACCTAAATTTAATCTATTTTATTATAATAAAATAACTTATATAATAGTAAGTAAGATATATAGAAATCTTATTTTAATATAACTTTAAGATTTAGCACTATCTAAGAACCTAGAATATATAGATAGATATATTTAGCTAAAGATTAGATTATAAGCTAGATAGAAAGAAACTATTACTCACTATTCTAAAAATAAATATAAAAGATATAATAAAGTATAACTATCTATAGATAGCAGCAACCTTAAAGATCCAAGAAAATCTTATTATAGAAGAAATTTAAAAAGAAATAGTAAAAAATATAATATTATAGGAAATTATAAAAAGATTAAAAGAATACTAAATAAGGAAAAAAAATAGGATTATCTACTATAAAGGTCTAATCTATATACCTAAAATAAAATAATATAAAATCATCTAGATGCACTATAATTCTTTAATATATAGATATCTAGAAACTAAGTAAATAATAGAGCTAATTAACTAAAACTACTATTTCCTAAATATATAGAGAAAAATAAGATAGTATATTAAGAACTATAAAGATTATATAAGAAATAAAAGTAAAAGATATAAAGTATATAGAAAAATATAATTAATAGAAGTACTATTAAGAGTATAAGAATAGATTATTATTAACTTTATTACTAAGTTACCTAAAACACTAAATAGGAATAATATAATAATAGTCACTATAGATTAATTAATAAAATATATATATCTTATAGTAATAATAAAAAAGATTAATACTAAAGAACTGGTAAAAATCTTTATAAAAGAAATTATAATACTTTATAGGATTCTAGATAAAATCACTATAAATAGAGATAAGCTATTTATATTAAAATTTTAAGAATTACTTATAAATATAATAAGGGTAGAATAGTAAATATCTACTATATATTATTTATAGATAAATAGATAAACTAAAAGGATAAATTAAACTATTAAGTAATACTTAAGATATTATATTAACTACTAGTAGGACAACTAGGATATACTACTACTAATAATATAGTTTATATTTAATAATATAAAGTATAAAATTATAGGGGAAATACTTTTTTATATAAACTATAGATATCACCTAAAGATAGCAGGAGAACTAAAGAAAAAGAAATTAATAATAAAAGAAATTAATAAAATTATAAAAAATATTATATAATTATAGATATAACTATTAAGGGATATTAACTTCTTAAACCTATAGGTTAAATATTATTATAATAAGAACTATCTAAAGGGACTAGATCTTAAAAAGGGGGAGAAAGTTTAGCTACTATAATATAATATTAAAATTAAATAATTAAGTAATAAACTAGATTATTAAAAACTTAGACCTTTTAAAATTAAAGAAAGAACTAAAGAAGTTAACTATAAATTAAAACTACTAGAAAGTATAAAAAGAATTTACCTAGTTTTTTATATTATATTATTAGAACTAGCACTAAAAAATAGTAAACTAGCTAAAGAAATTAATATTACTAAAGAAATAAAAAATAAGTATAAAGTTAAAAAGGTTATTAACTATAAATAAGTTAATAGATAACTATACTACCTAATTAAATAGAAAAACTACCTATTAGAAGAGAATATATAGAAACTAGTTAAAAACTTAATAAACTACTAATATATAGTATAGGAATATTATTAGTATTAGTAGAGTTAATATTTACTTAAAAAGAAAGTAGTATTTAATTAAGTAATTAACTTAAAGATAAAGTCTTTATAGTAGCTATAATATATATAGCCTCTTCTTCTTCCTTTTATTAATATTTATCTTCTTCTAGTTTTTTAAGTTCTTCTATTTTCTTTATATTATAAATAATAAAATTGCCAGCACATTTCTAAAGGAGCTCTTATTATTTAAATAAGTAATTAATTTTAGCCTAGATCTAAGCCTTAGCAGTATAGGTATGCCTCTTTTTATTATATAAATATTACTATATAGCCATAAGATAATACTATTTAGTATCTAAGAAAGTTAATTTTAATTCTTTATATTTATAACCACTAGCATAAATATACTTACTATACTAATTAGAACTTTTAGATTTTATATAAGTCTTATTAAAATAAGTATAATAAGTATAAGAGAAGACTATTTAGAAACCTTCCTCTTTAATCTTATAAGATAGATTATTTTTCTTAATTAATAAGTGAGAAGCCATAATCAGCAGGAAGTAATAAGAAAAGAAAGTGATTTATATAATAAAGATATAGAGCAACTAGCACCTATTTATATCTTTAAGAGATAAAGACTTAAAAAAGAGAGAGTAATATTATAGTACTAACTATTTAATAGTCTTATTAGGCAGAATAGTTAATAGGAGACTTTTAATAAGAAATTATAGAAATATAAGGCTAACTTAGGAATTATATAATATTATAACTAGGGCTATATAGATATTATAGCTAGGGCTATATAGATATTATAGCCAGGGCTATATAGATATTATAGTTAGAGCTATAATAGGAGGACTATATAAGGATGCTTATTTACTAATATATTTAGTTCTCTATAATTCTTACTATTAATTAAATTACTTAAGTACTAGTTAATTTAAATAGACTTATTAAACTTATTCCTATATATAGAGATAAGGACCTTACTTCTCTTATACTTAATTAACCTCTACTTATTCTATTAAAGGACTGAACATAGTTAGGGACTATGGTCCGCCTAGGTGAAGTATACCTAAAGGACTGTGGTATAGCTAAGAGACTAGGTCACTAATCTTGTTTGAGCTGATCAGTGATACTTGGGATCCCAGGGTTAGTAACACTAGGGATATAAGAAGTCTATAGTAGGTCTAATAAGAGAATAAGATAAAGTGCTTAAGGTCCTATTATCTATCTAGGGGGGGTGGTATATATCTTAACTCTAAGCAGGGTACTTAATAGGTGCCTGACTAATGCCTAATATCAACTATTAGTCGCAGGGTATGCTTAGTCATATGGGTTATAGGGCGGCGTCAGTGCCGGCCTTACATCAGCATAACAAAGAGATCTAATATTTCAAAAGTGGGTCATGAAGGCACCAGAGATCGCCCCACCCAGATGCGCTTCGGGCATCATTCGAGGTGTACAACATCAATCTATTGATTACGTACAGAAACTTGTTTAAGGCTAGCTTAGATATAAATTGCCTTTGTTGAATTTGCAAGAGGTTGAATATACACTAATCTAACTCTCATTGACTATCTTACTGGCCTGATCCAACTTAGTAGTATAGAGCTTTGGCTCACTCCTTGTCCTGCCTCGCCTATAAATTCTTTACAGGGATTGCGCCATTTTCAAAAAAGTACATTTTTCTAATTGATTGCTATGCAGCAGACCCACAAGGCTTTCTGCTGTGTACGGAGTACCCGCTCCGGGCCGTGGCTAGGTATGGGGACTGATGTTCGACAACCGTCCAGAGCAATGAACCAGGATAGCCTGATCTAACTATCTAGACTATATAAGTATTTATTTATATATTAATTACCTCAGTTGCCACCTATAAAGTGGTGTGTTAGCCTATAGTTTGGCTCAAAGAACCAATTAGCTAAAGACTATGCGCATATACTAGCCCAGTGTATTCTATTCTAACTTCTGTGACCAATCGTGATCATTGCATGTAAGGAATATCAGCAAGAAATCAGGTTTCAGGGGCCAGACGATGGCCGAGTATGAAATGAGGCATACACCGCTTCAGTATGCCATCGTGAAAGGTGTTTTCCCAAGTAGCTCGCTCGAGATGTGCCAGCAGTTGAGGGATTTCTCATATCAATAGGGAATAGAAGATCCTATATGCCCTAGAACGTGAACCAAAACCTGTTTCTCTATTATAGTACTGACTGGTATAGAAAACCTCTTACAGACGACATAAGAGTATTGATTGTACTTTTGTGCCAAACTGAAGTGGATGAAGAGAATGAACAGAAGATATAAGTAGAGTAGGACAGGGATAGTGCTCCATCTCTGCATGTCACAGGGCTCGAATTATCCCTTGGTGAATACAAATCTAGTAGAGGCTGTGGAAATCTTTATACTATAGTGGAATACCCTTCTTAGTGCTATACCCTTCTTAGTGCTATACCCTTTTTTTTTTCTTCTTTTAAGGCACTATGACTCGCTCAGAGACAGGGGAACAAAGAACAAAAAAGAGGATGCATGGCTAGACATGCAGCCCTCGGCTATCTGATGCAAGGGATAGAGCATTTTCGGTGGCGTAGGATACCATATATATCTAATTTGAAGGACTCTATCATCTGTTAAGAGCTAAGTTAACTTGTATTGGAGTGTTGACAGATACGGCTAAATTGACCAGGTGAGTCCACATTTTATACAAACAAACTGGAGCTGGCGGCTTCAGGTTGAGATTGCTGCTAACAGCTACACATAGCAAAAGCCACAGGAGTTTCACAAACAGAGCCTGTTAGCCATGTCGACAGAGAGTTGCGAGGTCCAGCACCAGATTGACTGTCTGGAAGCCTGGGTTCTCCAAGCCGTGGAGCAGTTCAAACCTACCAAGGGCTTGCTGAAGGTCAGCAGCGTGAACAACCAGCTAGGAGTTCTGATCAAGCTGGATGGGGGAGTCGAAGATGTTCTGGCGCGACTGCAGAGGGAGGATATTCGCCAGCTGGTGCAGAACCACGTCCAGGTGGGCTGCGATTTCACGGCTTCCTTGGTGCTGGATGGAAGCGGTCATTCGGAGACGCTGCTGGTTCTGCGGTTTTTGGAGAGGAGTCAAGCCAGAGCGCCGGAGAAGGGCCCCCGGAGCTTGTGTCGGGAGGAGAGGTGTGCACCGCTCATCGAGATACATTGCCAGGCTCGTCCAGAGGGGCTGGCACTGCATCTCGTCTCGCCTTCCGCCGCCGAGGCGCAAGTATTCTTGCAACATCTGGATTTGCGAGCCCGACAGGCGATTTCCACCCGTACCCTCGCCGAGATACCGGGGGAGACTGCGTCTGCTGCGTCCGACAGCGAGCTCCGGGTGATCTGGGGCTGGAATGCCACCGTTCCCGCTGCGGTGCCGAGATGTGTTCACGATATCATTGCCGAGCAAGCCCAACAGCAGCCATATGCGCCAGCAATCTCTGCCTGGGATGGCGAGCTGGACTACGAGCAACTAGATCGGATTGCCACCCAGTTAGCCCACTACCTGGTGCAGCTGGGTGCTGGACCGGAGGACATCATCCCCCTCTGTTTTGAAAAGTCCAAGTGGATGATCGTGGCGATTCTGGCCGTGATGAAGTCGGGGGCTGTCATCGCCGCGCTGGACCCGACGCAGCCCGAGGATCGCCTGCGAACCATTGTGAAGCAACTGCAGCCACGATGGATGCTGGCATCGCCAGCATCCATGGGATTGGCGAGCCGCCTGGGAAGCAGCAGTGTGATCTCTCTCAACGACGGCCTCGTGCAGCAACTGCCCGACGCCAAAGACAGAGACCTGCCAGTTGTTGATCCCGCCAGTGACCTGTACGTGGTCTTCACGTCGGGCAGTACAGGAACGCCCAAGGGCGTCATGATCAACCATACCAACTTTAGCAGCGCCATTGCCTACCAGCAGGATGCCCTGGGGATCAACGGCACGGCGAGAGTGTTTGACTTTGCTTCCTACGCCTTTGATCTCGCCTGGGGGAACATCATCCATACCCTGGCCGCCGGGGGGTGTCTCTGTATCCCTTGCGAAAGCGAGCGCCGGGGGAACATCACCGAGGCAATCCGCCGGCTGGGGGTGAACCATCTTCAGCTGACCCCCAGCGTTGCTCGCCTTATTGATCCCCAAGAGATCCCCGACGTGCGGTTGATCCTTTTGATCGGAGAGCCGATGACCCAGGCCGATGTTGCGCAATGGACGCCGTATTGCACCCTGATCAATTCCTACGGCCCTGCCGAGTGCACGGTGGCGGTGACCTTCCAGACAATCGAGCACGGCAAGCCCTGGGACTCAAGCATGGGCAAAGGCGTCGCGTGCAATACCTGGATTGTGGATGAGGCCCATGGAGACCGGCTGGTGCCTCTTGGCCACACCGGCGAGTTGTGGCTGGAGGGGCCGCTGGTGGGACAAGGATATCTGGGAGACTTGACCAAGACGGCGGCGAGCTTTGTAGAGGATCCTGCCTGGCTGACACAGGGGATCCCCGGTTTCCCGGCACGCCGAGGCCGGCTATACAGAACGGGGGACCTGGTGCGCTATAACCGGGACGGCTCGCTGGTCTACGTCGCCCGCAAGGACACGCAGGTCAAGCTCCGGGGCCAGCGCGTAGAGCTGGGCGATGTGGAATATCATCTGCAGCTTGCACTGCCCGAGAAAGTGCTCGCTGTGGCGGCCGAGGCCATCACCCCCCGGGGCGGCAGTAGCCCTATCCTGGTGGCATACCTGGCTCTCGGCGAAGCAGCAACCAGCACTGCAGAGACCACCCGGGAGAGCCTTGCCAGCTGCATAGATGGAGTGGAGGAGTACCTGGTCGAGCAGCTGCCTCGCTACATGGTACCCAGCATGTATGTGGCCGTGCCCCAGATGCCGATGACCACGACGGGGAAGACAGACCGGCTCCGCCTGCGTGAGATCGGGTCGTCTCTAACCCTCGATCAGCTCGCCGCATTGCAGCCGTCGCGAACAGTGCCGAGCGAGGCTCCGCAGACCGAGATGGAGCACCGGCTTCAACAGCTCTGGGCGGCAACGCTGAATATAAGCCCCGGCAGCATCAGCATAGGAGATAGCTTCCTCCGGATCGGCGGAGAATCCATGGCTGCCATCCGCTTGGTGCAGCTCTGCCGGAAGGAGGGCATCACGCTGACCGTGGCCGATATCTTCAACCACCCGCGGCTCGCCGAGATGGCGCAAGCAGCCCAGCGTGCACGCCCTCTGGACGCACCGCCAACCGTCGCTCCGTTCTCCCTGCTGCGCAAGGGCGAAGAGGTGCGGGATTGCTGTGCTCTGGCTGCGGCAGAATGCGGCGTTGCAGCAGACTCCATCGCCGATCTCCTGCCCTGCACACCTCTCCAGGAAGGCCTGTTGGCGTTGACTGTCAAGCAGGCCGGCGAATATGTCCGCCAGATTGTGTCTGAGCTGCCTGCCAGCGTGGATATGCTACGCTTCCGGGCTGCCTGGGCACAGGTGATCCATGAAGCGGCGATACTGCGAACCAGGATTGTAGACCTGCCAGACGTCGGGCTCCGGCAAGTTGTCCTCGCCGGACAGCCTGAATGGGCTACCGGCAGTGATTTCGAGCACTTTCTGGAGTGTGAGGAAGCAAGGCCGATGGGACTGGGGACCCCCTTGGCGCGGTTTGGCCTCGTGTCGGATGCAGCGCAGGGCAAGGCCTTCTTCGTGTGGACCATCCATCACGCTCTGTATGATGGCTGGTCACTGCCAGCGATGGTGGAGCGGATGGAAGCCATCTATGCCGGCGAGAGCCGTGATCCGCTCCCTTTGTTTGCCGGGTTTGTCCAGTACCTCGCTGATTGTGCAGTTGAGGACGCGCAAACCTACTGGAAGGCTCAATTCGATGGGATCCAGGCGGCGGTGTTTCCCTCGTTGCCATCGCCCGAGTACCAGCCGCAATGCCGGGATCTGCTGGAACACCGTGTGGGCGACGTTACGTGGCCCGGGAATGATATCACAGCCTCCACGGCGGTGCGAGCAGCCTGGGCGATCCTCACAGCCCGCTATACACAGTCTTCAGATGTGATGTTTGGGGCCACCGTCTCCGGAAGGCAAGCACCAGTCCCCGACATTGATCGCATGGCTGGTCCAACCATTGCCACCGTTCCGATCCGCGTGCAGGTGCAGGGAGGCGCCACGGTGGCCAGTTTGATGCAGAGCATCCAGGCCCAGGCCGTGGCAATGATCCCGTTTGAACAGACGGGGTTGAAGCAGATCCGGCGCATCAACTCGGATGCAGAGCAGGCCACCCAGTTCCAGACCCTGTTGGTGGTGCAGCCGCCGAGGCAAGAAGCGTCGCGGCGGTTGGACAAGTGTCTGCTGCGCGTGGATCTGGATGCTGGCGACGAATTTCGCAGTATCAACACGTATGCGCTGATGGTGGAGTGCCATCTCGAGTCGGACGGGATACGTCTGCGGATCAGCTACGACCGCCAGGTGATGCAAGGGGAGCAGGTCGAGAGGGTCGCCAGGCAGTTCGAAGCCGTCCTCCGCCAGGTCTGCAGCCAGGAGAGCGCAGAGGCGCTGGTGCGCAGCATCACGGCCGCCAGTGAACACGACCTGGCGCAGGTCTGGGGGTGGAATGCCACCGTGCCGCAGACCGTGGCGGAATGTGTCCACGATCTCATTGCGCAACGCACCCAGCAACAGCCCGAGGCACCGGCCATCTGCGCCTGGGACGGCCAACTGAGCTATCGGGAACTGGACGTGCTCTCCACGCAGCTGGCCGTCTCCCTCGTACAACAGGGAGGTGGCCGCAGCACGGTGATTCCCATGCTCTTTGAGAAGACTGTGTGGACTCCGGTGGCCATGCTGGCGGCCATGAAAGCAGGCAGTACGGGGGTTACGATGGACCCGGGGCAGCCCGAGGAGCGACTGCAGTCGATCGTCAAGCAGACACAACCCCCGTTCATTCTGACCTCGGACACATACAAGCCTCTGGCGGCTCGTCTCACGGAACGCACCATCTGCGTGAGCGCGGATGCCCTGCCGGCGCAGTCCTCGGAAGATGTTGATTCTTCTCCGGCTCTACCGACTGTGCTCCCGACGGACGGACTGTATCTGGCGTTCACCTCGGGCAGCACAGGAACGCCCAAGGGCGCGATCATGTCGCATCGAAACACGCGCAGCGCCATCCACCACGGCCTGCACGCCTTGGGGCTCACCTCCACCACCACGCGGGTGCTGGGGTTCTCCTCGTATGCCTTTGACGCCGTGTGGTTGGAGTTCCTCTACGCCATGGCGGCCGGGGGCTGTCTGTGTATTCCGTCGGACACGCAGCGGAACAGCGGCGATCTGGCCGGGTGCATCCAACAGCTGCAGGTTAACCTGGCGCTTCTGACTCCGTCGACGGCGCGGCTGCTCGACGCCGATGCCGTGCCGAGTCTCAAGACCCTGGTGCTGATCGGCGAGGCCGTCACCAGCGACGACCTGGCCCGATGGGCGGGCAAGGTCGATCTAAAGAACGGATACGGCCCTGCCGAATGTTCCGCCTTGACTGCAATCTACACCTTCCAGGGCCCGGAAGACGTGCCTGGCATCGTCGGGCCTCCGGTCGGGCTCCTGGCCTGGGTCGTCGAGCCATCAGACGGGGAGACTCTCAGCCCTCTAGGGGTAGCCGGCGAGCTGTGGGTGGAAGGGCCTCTCGTGGGACAGGGATACCTGGGAGATCCGCAGAGAACCGCCATGAGCTTTGTCAATGATCCCGTCTGGCTGCTCCGGGGAGCGCCCGGCCACCCGGGGCGGCAGGGCCGACTCTACAAGACCGGGGATCTCGTGCGATACACCTCCGACGGCAGGCTGGTCTATGTGACTCGCAAGGACACACAGGTCAAGATCCGAGGACAGCGTGTTGAGCTGGCCGAGATCGAGCATCATATCAAACAAGCCACCAGGGCATCGGTGGTGGTTGACATGGCCAGCCCCCGGGGCAGCCAAGCCCCGGTACTGGTGGCCTATATCGCCGTAGGGGCCGTCGCCATGGGGAGCCCTCCATGGAGCCCTCCAGGGAGCCCTCCAGGGAGCCCTCCAGGGAGCTCTCTGGGAAGTGCAAAAGCAGCCCTGCAGCGGTGCATCCACGGGGTCGACGCGCATTTGAATCAGCAGCTGCCCCGGTACATGGTGCCGAGCTTCTATATCCCAGTGGCCGAGATCCCATTGTCTGCCACGGGCAAGACGGACCGCCGGACACTGCGCGACATGGGCTCCTCCTGGGCTCTGGACCAGCTGGCAGCGCTGCAGCCGGGTGTGAAGCAGGGGCGCGCACTGCCCCAGAGCCCGCTGGAGGACAGCCTGCAGCAGCTCTGGGCGGAGGTGCTGAACGTTGATCCTGCGCGCATCGGCATGGACGACAGCTTCTTCCTGCTTGGGGGGGACTCCATCTCGGCCATGCAAGTGTCGGCCAAGTCCCGGGCAAAGGGGGGGATGCGAGTGACGGTGGCGGAGATTTTCGAGTTCAAGACGATTGCGCGCCTTGCCCGGCGGGAGCTGCAGTCGGAAGACGAGGCTATTGTTGGCATTGACGACGGGGAGCTGCTCGCCACCCCCTTTGCCCTCTCTCCCATCCAGCAGTTTTTCTTGGACATCCAGCAGGAAAAGGAGGGCCATTTCAACCAGAGCTTTCTGGTCCGCATCGCTCAGTCGCAGCAGCCAGACGACGTGCGGCGCGCCCTCCACCTCATCGTCGCCCGGCACTCGATGCTGCGTGCGCGCTTCTCCCGCGGCGGCGATGGGGTGTGGATGCAGCAGATCGCATCGGACGAGTCCTATACCTGGCAGCATCATTGTGTCGTATCGCTGGATGACGCAGTCCCGCTGCTCAACAGTGCTCAACACTCGTTGAACATCCAGTCCGGCCCCCTGTTGGCTGTCAATCTCATCGACACGCCGGAGAGCCAATACCTCTTCCTCACGGCACACCATCTGGTCGTTGACCTGGTCTCCTGGCGCATCATCCTCGAGGAGCTGGAAGAGTGCCTGCGAACAGGCACCGTCTCGGCCTCCTCGGCGCCGCTCTCCTTCCAGACCTGGTGCCGATTGCAGGAAATGCACGCCCTAGACCATTTGACGCCCGCGACTGCCTTTCCGTTTGATGCTGTCGCCCCGCCGGGGGAAGAATACTGGGGACTATCCCCGGAGCGCAATACACACGGCGGCATACAGGAGGCAGGGTTTATCCTTGGTAGGGAGACGACCGAGATGCTCCTGGGGCCTGCCAACGACGCCTTCCAGACGCAGCCAGTCGAGCTGTTCCTCGCCGTGCTGGTACACTCCTTTATCAACATCTTCACGGACCGGGACCCTCCGCTCGTCTTCAGCGAGGCCCACGGGCGAGAGCCATGGAGCTCGGCGATCGACCTATCGCGGACGGTGGGCTGGTTCACCACGCTGTCGCCTGTCCCAGTGGCCGCCGACTCGCGTCATCTCAGCATCCCCGAGTTGGTGCGGTTGATCAAGGATTGCCGACGACAGATCCCCCGGAACGGGTGGTCGTACTTTACATCGCGGTACTTGAACGCCGCCGGAAAGGAGGCTTTTGGCCGCCATGGCTGCCCGGAGATTGCGTTCAACTACCTGGGTCTCTATCAGCAGCTGGAGAGAAACGATGCGCTTTTCCGATCCTGTCCCACCCTACAAGATAGAGTGCTGGATGTGGCAGGCCATCTACGCCGGTTGGCCTTGATCGATGTCTCCGCCGAGGTCACCCAAGGCTGCCTGCAGTTCCGCTTCCTTTCCAGCCGCCACATGGGCAAGCAGGATACCCTGACGGAGTGGATTGGGGCGTGCCGGCAGGCATTCGAGGCAACGGCCGTGCAGCTCGTCGAAATGCCTCCCACCTACACCGTGTCCGACTTTCCGTTGCTGCCCTGGAGCGATGCAACATGGAAGCAGCTGCAGACACTCGGACTGGTCTACGGCGAGGTCGAAGATGTCTACCCATGCTCTCCGCTGCAGCTCGGGATTCTCATGAGCCAGGCAAAGAAGCCGGAGATGTACTGGACCCGGGTGCGCTGGCTCGTCCGGGCCAGCACGGAGGCATCGTCGCCCGTGGATGCTGGCCGACTGGAGCGTGCCTGGCGGGCCGTCGTCGCACGCCATGCAGTGCTGCGGACCCGATTCACCGACATCCTGGATGGATACAGCTACCAGATGGTGCTGAAGGATGCCTCGCCCAGCATCCACACCATCCAATTCCCAGCCTCGGTCGAGCCTCGGACTGCCAGCAACGAGTCCGTCCGACCAGTACATTCGCTTGTCCTCTGTCCGATGGCAAACGGAGACCTGGTATGTGAGCTGGAGATCAACCACGCCATCATCGACGCCGTCTCGATGCGAGTGCTGAAGAAGGAGCTTTGCGCCGCTTACGACGGGACGCTTTCTTCGGCGGCTGGCCCCCTGTACAGCGACTATATCCGACATCTACAGTCCTTATCCACGACAGCAGCTGGAACATACTGGCGGACACGGGTTGCAGACATGCAGCCATGTCTGTTCCCGACTCTGAACGAGCCCATCACGGCCCCCAGCCACGCAGCGGCCGTGGCATGCCTGCCCATCAGCCCGGAGACAGACCAGGCCGTGCGCCAGTTCTGTAGAGACCATGGCCTGACCCCGGCCAACGTGTGCAGTCTCGCCTGGGCGTTGGTGCTCCGCTGCTACACTGGCAGCGACTCGGTCTGCTACGGCTCTCTAATGTCCGCGCGCGATGTGCCCATAGCTCGGGTGGAGCAGGCGGTTGGACCATTCATCAACATGGTGGTCAGTCGTGTCGAGATTGACTGCACACAAACCCTGCTCAGCATGCTGCAAGATATCCAGACAGAGTACCTGCGCGGGCTGGAACACAACCACTATCCGCTGGCCGAGGTCCTGCATGCCATGAGCCCCGAGGGAGACCCCATGTTCAACACGGTCCTCTCGGTACAGAGCGGTGGCGGCGAGCTGGATCTCGCCACGGCCTCGATTACCCTTGAAGACGAGACATGGCACGATCCGAATGAATACGACATAGCCGCCTCGGTCCTGCTGCTGGACGGCCGCCCACGCATCTCGCTGAACTATTCCCAGCACCTGCTCTCGGAGGCGCAGGTCAACGCCGTGGCGGCGACCTTCTTGCAGGCTCTGGCGAATATCGTGGGCCATGCAGACTGCCGTGTGGGCGATCTTATTGAGACAACCATCAGTCCGCAGGATCTCGCCACGATCCGTGGGTGGAATGCGACAGTGCCAGCCGCCGTGGCCAGTACGGTGCCGGCGCTGATTGCGCCATGGGTGAAGCAACAGCCTCATGCCGTCGCCGTGTGTGCCTGGGATGGAGATGTATCCTATGCACAGCTGGACGAGTGGGCCACGCGGCTGGCACACCACCTGCTCGCTCTTGGGGTGCGCCCACGCTCTATCCTGCCGCTGTGCTTCGACAAGTCGCGGTGGACGACAGTGGCTATGCTCGGCGTCCTCAAGGCAGGCTGTGCTGCCGTCACGATCGATCCGGAGCAGCCGACGGAGCGATTACGGCTTGTCATGAACAAGACCCAGTCGGTGATTCTGGCCTCTCCGGCGTGCCGCGACCTTGCCAGTCGACTGCGAGCGGAGGTGGTCATCGTGGACGGACCCTCGCTGCAGGCCATGCCTGCCGCTGGCTCGTCCTCGCTGCCCACGATCCATCCCTCGGACCGGCTCTTCCTGGTGTTTTCCTCGGGGACCACAGGCACCCCCAAGGGGTCTGTCATGACACATCAGAACGCGTGCTCGGCCGTTCTGCACCAGCAGAGGCACCTGGGGCTGCCGTCGCCAGCAGCACGCATCCTGGACTGTTTGTCGTATGCGTTTGACGCTCCCTGGTTCAATTTTCTGCATGCGTTAACCTCCGGTGGCTGTCTGTGTGTGCCATCCGACGAGCAGCGCAAGCTCGATGTCGCGGGCTGTATCCGCCGTCTCAACGCCAACTACACGGTGCTCACTCCCTCGGTGGCGAGGATCATGGATCCTGCGACGGTTCCCGGATTGAAGGTCCTTGCCTTGGTCGGCGAGGCCATTGCGGCGGAGGATCTTGCTCGATGGCCCAACGTGCGGCTGTTCGGCCTGTACGGTCCCTCGGAGTGCACCATCGCCACCACCATCCACCAGTTCACGGCCGGCATGGATGACGCCCGGACGCTGGGCCACTCCTACGGCCTGACGGCCTGGGTGGTCGACCCTCTGCAGGGCTCCAGTCTGGCTCCGCTGGGTGTGACGGGCGAGCTGTGCGTCGAGGGTCCGCTTGTCGGGCAAGGGTATCTTGACGAGCCCGAGAAGACCGCCGCCAGCTTTGTGGACGACCCCGGCTGGCTCTGGAGTGCAGTCGGACGTCGTGGCCGGGTGTACCGCACTGGCGATCTCGTCCGATGCCGTCCTGATGGATCGCTCGTGTATGTTGGGCGAGCAGATAGCAGAGTCAAGATCCGCGGGCAGCTGGTAGAACTGGGCGAGGTGGAACATCATCTCCGCCAGACATTGCCCGCCGGGATGGATGCACCGGTGGTCGTGGACCTTGTCTGCCCCCATGGAAGTGCAAATCCGGTGCTGGTCGCCTTCCTGCCCGTCGGAGATGAAGCCATTCTCTCCCCCGAGGCTACGGCTGGGGCCATGCACCGGTATACCACCGGCGTCGAGGACCGTCTTGGTGCGAGACTGCCCAGCTTCATGGTGCCTCGCATCTATATCCCCGTCGCAGAGATCCCTGTCGCCACGACAGGGAAGGCCGATAGACGCCGGCTGCACCAGGTTGCAGCGTCATATACGCTGGAGCAGCTTGCTGCGCTGCAGCCGTCGCGGCAGATGCGCCGCGCACCCACCACCGAGATGGAGCGCCGCCTGCAACAGCTATGGGCGGTGATCCTGGACATTGGCGCCGCCAACATCGCGGCCACGGACAGCTTCCTGCGCATTGGAGGCGACTCCATCGGCGCGATTCGAATGGTTCGTTTGGCGGCAGAGCAAGGCATCAGGCTCACTGTCGCCGCCATCTTCAAATCGCCGACTCTGTGCGACATGGCGCGCGTGGCCACGGTGGCAATGTCCTCCAGCGATACCGAGATTCTCCCCTTTGAACTGCTCGCGCCGGAGATCAATCCCTCGGAGGCGCGAATGCAGGCGGCGGCGCTGTGTGCGCTGAGCCCGTCGAACATCGAGGATATCCTTCCGTGTGCGCCTCTGCAGGAAGGCCTGCTGTCGCTGACGGTCAAGAACCAGGGCGACTATGTGAACCGCCAGGTGCTGCGGCTGCGCGAAGGAGTTGATCTGGCACGCTTGCAGCACGCCTGGAAGCAGGTCGCCATGGCCACGGCGATTCTCCGCACCCGTATCGTGGACCTCCCGGGCCAAGGACTCGTGCAGGTCGTTACTCGCGAGGGTCCCGAATGGCATCACGGCGAGACCCTCGACGCCCTGATACAGGCGGATCGACAGCGCCCCGTTACCCTTGGTACCCCCCTGTCGAGATTCGGCTTGGTGAAGGCCCGCGGGCAGAGAGCTGGGCCTGTGTATGTCCTGCTCACACTCCATCATGCCCTCTACGACGGCTGGTCGCTGCCTCTGCTTCTCGACGCCGTTGGCAAGGCTTATAATGGCACTGCAAGCGACCGCCTGGTTCCCTTCAAGGTCTGGATCAAGTATGTGACGGCCCTCGGGGCAGAGACCGACGCGTATTGGCGGCGCACTCTGGATGGCCTGGTCGCAGAGCCCTTTCCGGCGCGGTCATCGCCTCTGTATCACGCTCGCGCCCAGGACGTGCTGGAGCACCATGTCGCCGGGCTGCAGTGGCCGCAGAACCATATCACCGCCGCCACCGCCGTCCGTTCAGCATGGGCCATCCTCACGGCGCATTACACCAACTCCGCCGATGTGCTCTTCGGAGCGACGGTGACTGGCCGCCAGGCGGCCGTGGAGGGAGTCGGCCTGGTCGAAGGACCGACGATCGCCACGGTTCCAGTCCGCGTCACCATCCGGGAGCAGATGAGTCTCGCGGCGCTGCTCGATGAGGTCCAGGAGCAGTCCGTCGATATGATCCCCCACGAGCAGGCCGGGCTGCAGCGCATCCGGAAGCTCAGCGCCGACACGGAGCGAGGGTGCCAGTTCCAGACGCTGCTGGTGGTGCAGGCAGCCCCGGCGATGGACGGAGCCGACGCCCAACAGCTCTTGTTCGACGAGGAAGAAGACTACCTTGTCGAGCAGACGAGCCTCGGGGACTTCAATTCATATGCTCTCCTGCTCCAATGCCAGGTGACGGCCACGGGGATGTCTCTCCAGATCAGCTACGACTCGCATGCCATGGCCCAACCGCAGGTGCAACGGCTTGCGCAACAGTTCGAGCATATAGTGCGCCTCGTGTGTGATGAATCGCAGCATCCCTCCCCCGTCTACCACCTGGATGTTCTGTGTAGGCATGACTGCGAGACGATCCGGGCGCTCAACAGCCCTGCGCCAACTGCAGTGGACGCCTGCTTCCACGAGCTCATCTCCGCGCAGGCCCAGCGACGACCAGATGCTCCCGCCGTGGCCGCCTGGGACGGGAGTCTGACGTACGGCGAGCTGGACACGCTCTCCCACAATCTGGCGTGTCAACTGGTTGACCTGGGCGTCGGCCGTGACGCGGTGGTGGCGCTGTGCTTTGAGAAATCCATGTGGATGCCCGTGGCGATGCTCGGCGTGATGAAGGCCGGCGGTGCGTCGGTGACGATGGATATCACGCAACCGCAAGACCGTCTGCGCACAGTTCTGCAGCAGGTGCAGCCGCCGCTGGTGCTGAGCTCCCTCGAGGCCGAGAAGCTGGCCCGCTCGTTGACCGACACGCCTGTCCATGTGGTGTGTGAGGATGGCTTGAAGACATCCCCGCCCGGCCGTCGGTTGCCGGTGGTGGTGCAACCCACGGACAGGCTGTACATCTGCTTCACCTCCGGCAGCACGGGAGTGCCCAAGGGCGCCGTCATGTCGCACCGGAACATGACCAGTGCCGTGCACCACCAGCAGACGGCGCTGGGGTTCACTGCGGCGGCGAGGGTGTTTGACTTTTCGTCGTACGCATTCGATGCGTGCTGGCTGAACTTCCTGCACACAATGGCGGCCGGAGCTTGTCTCTGCATTCCCTCGGACGAGGATCGCAAGAACGACCTGGGCGGATGTATGCGTCGCATGGCAGTGACCTATGCCGCCCTGACACCGTCCACTGCACGTCTGGTCGATCCGGCCTCCATCCCAGAGCTGCAGACCCTCGTGCTCGTTGGCGAGCCGGTAGCCTTGCGGGACATTGCCCAGTGGAAGGCCCATGTCCAGCTCAAGAACGGCTATGGCCCGGCGGAATGCAGTGCCATCTCCACCACGTTCGATCTCGGCGTCGGCGATCATGACCCGGCCACCATCGGCGCTGGCAGAGGCATGGCCACCTGGGTCGTCGAGCCTACTCAAGGCCGCCATCTGTCGCCGTATGGCGCCGTGGGCGAGTTGTGGGTTGAAGGCCCCCTCGTTGGACTGGGGTATCTCGGCCGTCCGGATCTCAGTGCGGCCAGCTTCATCGATAGCCCGCCATGGTTGCCGAGAGAGGGCCGTCTGTATCGCACGGGAGACCTGGTGCGGTATAGCCCGGATGGAACTCTGGTCTGTGTCGGCCGCAAGGACGCCCAGGTCAAGATCCGCGGCCAGCGCGTCGAGCTCGCCGAAGTCGAGCATTATCTCACCCAGGCCTTGCCCCCAGCTGCCGGCGGTCTCCCTCTGGCAGTCGACGTGCTCACCCCCCGAGGCAGCGCCCATCCCCTGCTAGTCGCGTACATGGCGATAGGGGAGGCCGCGCAGGGCCCGCCAGAGACAGTCCGCGCCCAGCTGGCCCTCTACAGCCAGGGAGCCCGCGAGCGTCTGGCGGAGCAGCTGCCCGTCTACATGGTGCCCGGTCTGCTGCTCCCCGTGGTGGAGATCCCAACCACAGCCACGGGTAAACGAGATGGACGCCGACTGCGTGAGAGGTGGGAGATGCGGTCCTGGGACGAACTGGCAGAGCTGCAACCGACTCGAGGTAACCACCAAGCCCCGACGACGCAGCGGGAAGAGCAGATCTTGAAGCTGTGGGCGGACTGCTTGAATATGCGGCCCTCCAAGGTCAGTGTTCACGACAGCTTCTTCGCTCTCGGGGGGGACTCGATCTCCGCGATGCAGGTGTCGGCCAAGTCCCGGGCACAGGGGCTGCAGATCACCGTCGCGGACATCTTCAAATACAAGACCGTTGCTCGACTCGCGGTGGGAGCTGCCGCAGTGGCTGACCAGCCCATGACACCGGCATTACACAGCCAAGGGGCGTCCTTTGCCCTGTCCCCGATACAGCAGATGTTCGCCGAGACACAGGGGGGGGTCAGCAACCACTTCAACCAGAGCTTCTTTGTGCAAGTCCGGCAGCCGGTGACTCTGGCTCAGATGCAGGCCGCCGTGGATGCCCTGGTGGCCCATCATGGCATGTTGCGCGCGCGGTTCCATTGCAGCGGGGAGAATATCTGGAGCCAGCAGATCCTGGCCCCCGGGACGCCAGGGAGCCATCGCGTCAATCAGCACAAGGTGATCAACATGGAGGCGGCCTCGGCAGTGATTCAGGACAGCCAAGGCGCCCTGGACATTGAGAATGGCCCGCTCATGGCCGTGGACTTGATCGATGCCCCCGACGGGCAGTACCTGTTCCTGGTCGCCCACCATATGGTCGTGGACCTGGTATCCTGGCGGATCATGCTGGCCGATCTCGAAGAGCATTTGACGACCGCGTCTCTGACGGGCTTCACTTCCATGTCCTTCCAGACGTGGTGCCAGCTCCAGGGCGACCACGCCCAGAGCCACTGCGACATGGCCGCCGTGCTGCCTGCAGGAGCGCTGCCACCGTCGCCACCGCAGCTGGAGTACTGGGGACCGGTCCGCAGCTCCAACCGGTTCGACAACATCATCAAGGGTGGCCTGGTCCTGGGGAAACAGGAGACGGAGATCCTGCTGGGCCCTGCGAATGCGGCGTTTGATACCCGGATGGTGGAGATTGTGCACGCCGCCATCGTGCATTCCTTTGCCAACACGTTCCACGACCGCGAACCGCCGACGGTCTTCAGCGAAGGCCATGGGCGGGAGTCCTGGAGCTCGTCAATCGACATCTCCCGCACCGTCGGCTGGTTCACCACGATGTTCCCGGTGGTCGCGACGAGCAGGCAAGGAGATAGCATTGCCAGCATCGTGCGCCATGTCAAGGACCGCCGCCGCCAGATCCCGGGCAATGGCCGGCCATACTTTGCCTCGCGCTTCCTCACGCCGGCGGGCAAGCGGACATTGCAGATCAACGGCCCCGTCGAGGTGATTTTCAACTACCTCGGGCTGTACCAGCAGCTCGAGCGGCCAGACGCCCTCTTCCACCTGCAGGACCTGCCGGACGGGGTGGACGAGCTGTCGGACGTCTCGCGGCAGCTGTTCCGCTTTGCCCTGGTGGACATCTCGGCATCAGTCAGGGCTGGCTGTCTGCATGTGGACTTTCTCTACAACCAGCACATGCAACACCAGGCATCTCTCAGCGCCTGGATCGAGGCCTGCAAGCACTCCCTGCAGACCGCCGCGAACGAGCTCCCCCTGCTGTCGCCGAGCTTCACGCTGTGCAGCTTCCCGCTGCTGCATTTGACGGAGCCACGACTGGCGAGGCTCACGCAGCGGCTGGCAGAGCTGGACGTGGCATCCGCGCAGGTCGAAGACATCTATCCGTGCTCGCCGGTGCAGGACGGCATACTCATGAGCCAGATCAAGAACCCGGATCTGTATCGGACCCGGATCCGGTGGATGGCACGCTCTGCACAGCCGCCGTCGAGCTGTGTAGACATCGATCGGCTCCAGCAGGCATGGCAGCAGCTGGTAGACCGCCATCCAGCCCTTCGTACCGTCTTCGTCGACAGTATCTCGGGCAGAGGGCTCAATGATCAAGTCGTCCTGCGCGCTCTCCCGACCTCCGTCTTCACTCTCTCCCCGACAGACGCCGGCATCCTGTGCGAGCTGTCGATGAACCATGCCCTGATCGATGCCTTTTCGCTGGGGATCCTCAGGGACGAGCTGTGTGCTGCGTATGACGGGTGCCTCTCTCCATCCCCGGCACCTCCGTACAGTGACTACATCGGTTTTATCCAGTCCCTGCCCACTGAACAAGCCGAGGAATACTGGCAACTGCATCTCCGAGGCATTCAGCCTTGCAGATTCCCCCCGCTGGCCGGTGCAGACGTACCAGGCCGACGCTCACAGGCCCATATCCTGACTTCCTTTGAGAGCGAGCTGCACCAGGCCTTGCGCCGCTTTTGCATGGAGCATGGCCTGACCATGTCGAACGTGTTCCATGTCGCCTGGGCACTGGTCCTGCGGGCGTATACGGGCTTGGAGACAGTCCTCTTTGGCTATCTGACGTCCGGCCGGGACATTCCTTTGCAGCACGCAGAGCAGACTGTCGGTCCCTTGATCAATATGCTGGCCAGCCGCGTCGATCTGGCCGGTAGGGACTCCCTGATGGCCCTGCTGGAGAAGAACCAGGAGCAGTATCTCGCCAGCTTGCAGTTCCAGCATTACCCATTGGCCAGGGTTTTCCACTTGACCGACACGCCCGACAAGGAGCTCTTCAACACAGCCATCTCCGTGCAGACCAGTGGCTCTGCGGCCAGAGGCAGTCGGTCGAGTCTATTGCTTGTCGACGAGGGGGGAGACGATCCCACCGAGTACGACATTCTCATCAACGTCGGCGTCGGAGAGGAGGAAACCGGCGTCAACTTTTCCTTCAACGAGTCGGTGATATCTGAGAGCCACGCACAGAGTGTCCTCGACCTGTTCCAGCATGCCATTCTGTATATTGTTCAGCACCCAGACCAGACAGTCCAGGAGGCCAATCTCATCAGCAACCACGACCTGCAGACCATCTGGGGCTGGAATGACGCCATCACGGTGCCGGTACACCGCTGTGTGCACGAACTCGTCATGGAGCAGGCCGAGAAGCAACCCGAGGCCGCTGCCATTTGCGCGTGGGACGGCGGCTTCACATACGCACAGCTCAACGATCTGTCGACGCAGCTGGCAGGCCACATCCACGCGGCGGGCGTTGGACCGGGTGCCTACGTCCCGTTGCTGTTTGAAAAGTCGCGGTGGATGTCTGTAGCCAGCCTGGCGGTCATGAAGGCCGGGGCAACAATGGTAGGCTTGGATCCTGCGCAGCCGCAGGACAGACTACGGACCATCCTCACGCAGGTCCGGCCTCGTCTCATCCTGGCCTCAACGGGGACTCACGCCCTTGCTGCCGGGCTCGCCGATTGTCCGGTCTTCAAGGTGGACGAAAGCAGTCTGTCCGAGCTGGCCATCTCCGGTGCGGCAGCGTTGCCTCGCGTCGATCCGGCCAGCGTCCTGTACTTGGTGTTTACCTCTGGCAGCACCGGGCTGCCCAAGGGAGTGAGCATCACCCATATTAACCTCAGCACCGCCATCACGCAGCAACGGCAGCTGCTCCGACTGTCTGCCTCGTCGCGAGTGCTAGAATTCGCCTCGTATGCGTTCGATGTCGCCTGGGGCACCATCCTGCACACTCTTGCCGCCGGTGGCTGCGTGTGCGTGCCTGAGGAGTCAGAACGCCGCGGCGACATCGCGGCCGCAATGCGGCGGATGGAGGTCAACTACGCGCATCTCACACCATCAGTCGCCCGTCTGCTGGAGCCGAAGCACCTACCACGTCTCCAAACCCTCGTCTTGAGTGGCGAGGCGGTCTTGCGGGCAGATATGGAGCAGTGGAGCTCTCACGTCCATCTGATCAACGCGTACGGGCCTGCTGAAACCGCAGTCTGGGTGACATTTGCGCATCTCAGGGCGGACATGGCCATGCCTCACATTGGAAGGGGCGGCGGCTGCACCACATGGATTGTTGACCCCTGTAGCCCTGACCGACTGGCCCCCGTGGGCTGTACGGGTGAGCTCTGGATAGAAGGGCCCCTGGTAGGACTCGGCTATCACCATGACGCGGAACGAACAGCCGCCGCCTTCGTCAAGAACCCGCCATGGTTGGTGTGGCCAGGGGAATCGCATGGCCCTGGACGAGAGAGACGGCTCTATCGCACCGGAGACTTGGTGCGGTATACGCCCGACGGGGCGATTGTTTTCATCGGGAGAAGAGACAACCAGGTCAAGATACATGGCCAGCGAGTCGAGCTGGAGGAAGTCGAGAAGCACATCCAGCAGACGATGCTCGACAATAACGAAGCAGCAGTGCCTGTGGTGGCGGCAGTCGTCTGTCCCAAGGGCGCCGACAAGCCCGTTCTGGCGGCGTATCTGGCTCTGGGGGATCAAGCAATAGGCTCGATGGAGAGTGTTCGCACCGCGCTGACCAGCTATACCAGCTCCATCCAGCAAGCCTTGGAAAGGCACCTACCAATGTATATGCGGCCGACCATCTACATCCCCGTGGCCGAGATGCCCACGACGACGAGCGGAAAGGCAGATCGAAGGAAGCTCAAAGCCATGGCAGCGAGTCGCTCTCTGGCCGAATGGGCGGACCTCCAGTCCACCAAGGGCCAGGGGCGTGCCGCATCGTCGCCGGGGGAGCTGGCGCTGCAGCGGCTGTTCGCCCAGGTGCTCAACATCGACCAAGAGCTCGTCGGAATGGACGACAGCTTCTTCTCCCTCGGCGGCGACTCCATCACGAGCATGCAGCTGTCGGCCAAATCGCAGTCCAGCGGCGTCCACGTCACGGTGGGCGATATCTTCAAGCACAAGACCGTCGCGCAGCTGGCAAGCCATGCCGGGCACACAGCAGCCAGCACGGCCGTGCAGCTGCCAGAAGTCACCAACCAGCCGTTTGCCATGTCTCCAATCCAGCAGCTGTTCCTTGCCTCCTCGCACGACAACAAGGGCACGAACCTGTTCAGCCAGTGCTTCCTGGTCCGAATCGCCCGTCCCTTGGATGCCGACGAGCTCCGGCACGCCGTCGGCGTGCTCGCAGCCCGGCATTCCATGCTCCGGGCTCGCTTCGTCCCCGGGGGAGACGGGGTCTGGCAGCAAATGATCGTGCCGGAAGCCGACAGCTGCTATACATTCCGACGGCATCACATCACCAGTCTGCCAGAAATGCAGTCGATCCTGCAGCGCAGCCAGGAATCATTAGACATTGTCCAGGGCCCGATGCTGGCGGTGGAGCTGATCGATTCGACTCACCATGGCCAGCATCTCTTCATGGTCGCCCACCATCTCGTGATTGACCTTGTCTCGTGGAGAATCCTCCTGGGCGATCTGGAGGAGTACATGAGTTCGGGGACCATCACCGGCTTCCCGCCATTCTCATTCCAGTCCTGGAGCCAGCTGCAAGCCAACTATGCGCGAGAGCATCTGTCCCCCGAGACGGCGATGCCCTTTGACGTCAGTCCCCCGCGGCATGAATACTGGGGATTGAGCGCCGAGGACCAAACCAACACCCTCAGCAACGCCGGTCGACACAGCTTCACGATAGACAAGGATCTCACGGACATCCTCATGGGTGCGGCCAACGTCGCCTTGGATACGCAGCCGGTCGAGGTGCTCCACGCCGCCCTGGTGCACGCCTTCGCACAGGTCTTCCGGGACCGCGACTCACCCCCAATCTTCACCGAGGGCCATGGGCGGGAGGCCTGGGACCCGGCGATTGACCTGTCGCGGACGGTTGGCTGGTTCACCACCATCTCGCCGGTGGCAGCGGCGATTACGCGAGAGCACAGTCTGACAGAGGTGGTGCGTCGTGTCAAGGACTCGCGCCGGCAGACACCACGCAATGGCTGGGCCTACTTCAGCTCGCGGTATCTCAATCCAGCTGGGCGGAAGCGACTCCAGATCAAGGGCCCCGTGGAGATTATCTTCAACTACATGGGCTTGTACCAGCAGCTGGAGCGCCCGGACTCCCTATTCCAGCAGTCTGATATCACCGTCACCGAGTGCCCGGCTGCAGCCACGACGCTTTCTCGGTTTGCGCTGATCGATGTGGCCGCCTCTGTTGTACAGGGCCGGCTGCACTTCGAGTTCCTCTACAACAAGACGATGAACAGACAGGACCGAATTCACGACTGGATCAACACTTGTGAGGCCTCGCTCAAGGCCGCCGCAGAGACCCTGCCGCTGCAGAAGCCCAGCTATACCATCTGCGACTTTCCCCTGCTCTCGCTCTCCGACGCCTCCCTGGACGAGCTGGTCAATAGAACCCTCCCCGGGCTTGGTCTTTGCTACGGCCGCGTTGAAGACATATACCCCTCTACGCCGATCCAGCAGGGCATCCTCCTGAGCCAGGCAAAAAGCCCGGAGCTGTACTGGACGCGAGTACGATGGACGGTGCAGCCGACGGGCACATCGCCCGTCGTCGACCTTGATCGGTTGAAACGCGCCTGGCAGCTGGTCGTGGACCGGCACTCGATCCTGAGGACGATCTTTATTGATGCCGTCGGGTCCGGCAAGGTCATGGACCAGCTCGTTCTGAAGACGCTGGCTGTGGATGTCGACGTCGTACAGCAGCAGCAGCAGCAGCAGCAGCAGCAATGGCACTCCAGGGAGACACCGCAGCATTCACTATGTCTGACGCAAACCCCGTCAGGAGGCTTGTTCTGCGACCTGGAGATCAACCATGCGATGATCGATGCGTATTCTCTGGCTCTGGTGAGGCAGGAGATCTGTGCAGCCTATACCGGCACCTTGCCGTCAACCGCCGCGGTGCCCTACAAGACATATGTGCAGCATGTGCAGGGAGTAGGCCTTGAGCAAGGCCACCGGTTCTGGAGCCGATACCTGGACAATACTCCGCCATGTCACTTTCCATCTCTCGGCCAGCCGGATACCAACACCCGCGGGGCGCTGTCCGTCTCATTGGACTCGCCAACCCATCAGGCGCTGCGTGCTTTCTGCCAACAGTATGGGGTCACCGCGTCAAACGTGTTCTATCTGGCCTGGGGGCTTGTCCTGGGTGCCTACACTGGCCTGGACACGGTCTGCTTTGGCTATCTCACGTCCGGGCGGGACGTGTCCATCCCAGGGGTGGACACGATTGTCGGACCGCTCATCAACATGCTGGTCTGTGTTCTTGATTTCGGGACAGAGGCATCCATCCAGTCAGTTATGAACAAGGTCCAGGAGGACTATCTCGCTGCCCTGGAGCATCAATTCGCGCTCCGGCTTTCCGGCACCTCTGCTCAGGGCCTCTTCAACACCGGCATCTCCGTTCAGGGCGGTTCTATTGATCAAAACCAATACGATATTGAATTGACGGACCAGACAGGCCTGGATTCACCCGAGGTATGTTTCTTCATGCTGTCGTGTTGTTGATGTTTTCCAGGGTTAACTGACTTCAAAGTACGACATTGCCGTTGCCATCTCCAGCAATACCGACGAGACGGAGATTGCATTCGACTACACAGCCGCGACAATGTCCGAGCAAGGCGCCCACGGTCTGGCAGAGCTGTTCTGCCAGGTTGTCGCCGATGTCATCCGCCTCCCTGATCAAACACTCCGTGCAGTAGAGGTGATCAGCAAGCAGGATCTGCAGGCTCTCTGGACGTGGAATCGGACAGTTCCCGAGACGGTGAATGAATGTGTTCATGAGATGATTGCACGGCGGGCATCCGAGAGGCCCGACTGTCTGGCAATCCATGCCTGGGATGGAGAGCTCACATACCAACAGCTGGACCGCCTGTCGACGCGACTGGCGCGATATCTGGTGGATATACGAGTCAGACCAGAGAAGTCCGTGCCTTTGTGCTTTGACAAGTCCATGTGGATGCCTGTCGCTGCCCTGGCGGTGATGAAGGCTGGCGGCGCATCTGTGGCCATGGATATGACCCAGCCGGAGAAGCGCCTGCAAGGTATTGTGCAGCTCATCCAGCCGGATCTGCTTCTTACAAGCACTGCAAATCTCAAGACTGCCCAGCAGCTATCCCCTCACCTCCCCGTGGTAGCCATTGACGAGGCCTTCCTTTCACAGCTCCCACCCCCCAGGTCGCTGTGCCTGCCAACCGTCTCGCCCTCCAGCCATCTCTATACTGTCTTCACCTCGGGCAGCACCGGCACGCCAAAGGGGGCAGTCATCAGCCATGCCAACTTTGCGAGTGCCATCGTGCACCAGACAGGCCTCCTCTCGCTCAGGCCGGAATCTCGTGTCTTTGACTTTGTCTCGTACGCCTTTGACGTTGCCTGGTCGAACATGCTGCACACGCTGGCCGCGGGGGCGTGTCTGTGCATTCCGTCCGAAGCCATGCGGCGCGATGGCCTTGTCGAAGCCATGACGGCGATGCAAGTGACGCATGCCCAATTCACCCCGTCCATGGCGCGCACCGTGGACCCGGACCAATGCAAGACGCTCACAACGCTGATCCTGGGCGGCGAGGCCATCTCCCAGCACGACATTGCCGTCTGGACCCCCCGGGTGCAGCTCCGTGTTGCGTACGGTCCCGCCGAGTGTACGGTTGCCGGCGTCATGGACCCGGTTCCTCAACAGTCGGCAGGCCGCGACGTGGGCAGGATCGGGCGTGGGCTCGGGATCAACACCTGGATCGTCGCCGTCTCGGATGCAGCCAGCCTGGCGCCCCTGGGCACCGTGGGGGAGCTGTGGCTCGAAGGGCCCCTGGTTGGGCTGGGCTACCTTGACCAGCCTGAAAGGACAGCCGCGAGCTTCGTGGACGACCCGGCGTGGCTCCTGCGCGGCGCCCCTGGCGTTCCTGGCCGTCGAGGCCGCCTATACCGAACCGGCGATCTCGTCCGCTACAGCTCTGATGGCAGTCTCATCTTCGTCGGACGCAAGGATAGCCAGGTCAAGGTCCGTGGGCAGCGTGTCGAGCTGCAAGAAGTGGAACATCACCTCCAGGCCAACCTGCGCGAGACCACTGGGATCGTTGCCGATGTGATCAAGCCGCAGGGCACCAGCAACGCCATTCTCGTCGCCTATGTCGCTGTCGGAGAGAGCATCGACTCCCCTCTGGAGAACATCCATGCAGCCCTACAACCGCTGACCCAGGGCCTCACCGATGCTCTTTCCGCCCAGATCCCGCAGTACATGGTCCCGAGCATGTATCTCCCTGTTTTCAAGATCCCAACGACCCTGACAGGCAAGGTCGACCGCAACCAGCTGCGTACATTCGGATCATCCCTGACGATGGACCAGCTGGCACGAATGCAGCCCCCGCAGGGAGGCAAGCAGCTGGCCCCCGAGACCGAGGTTGAGAGGCTCCTGCAGCAGCTGTGGGCAGAGAGCCTCAACATCAGTCAGGAATGCATCGGGGTCCGCGACAGTTTCTTTGCCCTCGGAGGCGACTCGATCTCGGCGATGCAGCTGTCGGGAAAGCTGCGCTCCGCAGGGTTCCGCGTCACAGTCCCGGATATCTTCAAGCTGAAGACCATTGCCCGTCTGGCCGCGAGTGCGACAGCGGTGCAGAGACGGCCAACAGTCGTCTGGGAGACTCGTGAAGATGAAGCATTCGACCTGGCGCCTGTGCAGCAAATGTTCATCGAGGTGGTGCGCGGCAAGACCAACCACTTCAACCAGAGCTTCTTCCTGCGCATCGTCCGGCCGGTCCAGCCAGCAGATGTGCAACGCGCCCTGGATCGGGTGCTTGCCCACCATCCCATGCTGAGAGCACGCTTTGTCACGGACGACAGCGGACATTGGACGCAGCAGATCGTTCCCTGTGCCCCGGGCGTCTACCGATTCCGCCAACACGACGCCTCGTCTCTGGAAGATGCCTTGCCGGTGCTGGATGCGAGCCAGGTATCCTTCAATCTGGCCGCCGGGCCGCTCTTCTCGGCAGATGTGCTGCAGATCCGTGGCAGCGGCGAGCAATATCTGTACCTGGTGGCGCATCATCTCGTGGTGGATTTAGTGTCGTGGAGGATCATCCTTGGGGACCTGGAGGACCTGTTGACTGCAAAGACCTCTTCACCCATGCCGCCGATGCCCTTCCAGGCCTGGTGTCAACTCCAGGCTGCCCATGCCCGCGACCACCTCACTCCCGCGGCGGCGATGCCCGTGGATATCCCGCCGCCGCAGCAAGAGTACTGGGGGGTGGATGCGGCCACCAACACGTTTGGCAACGCCATCCACCGCAGCTTCACGATGAGCAAGGAGGTCACGGAGATGCTTTTGGGGCCCGCCAACAGAGCCCTTGATACCCAGCCCGTGGAGATCCAGCAGGGCGCCCTGCTCTACTCCTTCACGCGGGTGTTTCGCGATCGGGCGTCTCCTACGGTCTTTAGTGAGGGACACGGCCGTGAGCCATGGGATGCCACCATCGACCTGTCACGGACGGTTGGCTGGTTCACCACCTTGCTTCCCACTGTGGCCTCCATCGGGCCGGATGATACGCTCGTCGATGCCATTCGCCAGACAAAGGATGCTCGTCGTCAAGTCCCGGGAAACGGCCGCCCATACTTTGCATCCCGCTACCTGAACGCCGAAGGAAAGGAGGCCTTTGGGGCCCATGGCCTGCCCGAGATCACCTTCAACTACCTGGGGCTGTACCAGCAGCTTGAACGAGACGGTTCCCTGCTGCAGCCCGCTGCGTTGCCCCCGGGCAGGAAGCCGGATGTGGATGAGGCAGTGCAGCGGTTTTCGCTGATTGAAGTCTCTGCAGCGGTGACTCGGGGCTGTCTGGAGCTGAGCTTTGTGTTCCATCGGCACACAAGACATCTGGATAGGATGGAGGAATGGGTGGCCCAGTGCAAGCAGTCTCTCGAAGCTGCGTCCAAAGTATTGGTCCAGCATCCCCCAAGCTATACACGCTGCGACTTCCCGCTGTTGCGCCTCACAGAGCCCGCCCTGCAGACTCTGCTGCACTCGACTCTTCCGCAGCTCGGCATCTGCCATGGAGAGGTCGAGGACATCTATCCATGCTCGCCCATTCAGCAGGGCATGCTGCTGAGCCAGGCGAAGAACCCGGCTGTGTATTGGACGCGCATTCGCTGGCAGGCCCGGTCCTGCGAGCCGACATTGCCTCTAGATCCTGGCCGACTGGCTCATGCTTGGAGGCAGGTCGTTGCCCGGCATCCGGTGCTTCGGACCAGGTTCATCGATGGCCTGTCGCCTCACAGCTTCAAAGACCAGCTCGTACTCAAAGCCAGCGAGGCCGAGATATGTGTGATGGTCGATGAGGATCCCGTCGCCGCTCTGGAGAGATACTGGGAGCAGGCGCAGCGGCACCACCACCAGCTTCACACCCTTGCTGTGGCCCAGATGCCCTCCGGGGAGGTCTTTTGTGACCTCGAGATGAACCATGCCATCACAGATGCCATGTCGACCGCCCTACTCAAGCGAGACCTTCAAGCGGCATACAATGACACCCTGCCGGATGCACCGGGCCCCTTGTATGGAGACTACATCCGGCACATCCAGTCGATCCCCGCGGCGGTGGGCATTGACTACTGGCGGCGGTATCTCGACGGTGTCCCTGCCTGCATCTTCCCGACAATGGCAGATGGGCAGAAGAATGCGAGCGGGTCAATGCATCGGATGCTGGACCCGGAAACAAACCTCAAGCTGCAACGCTTTCTCAAGACAAACGAGCTGACGGCGTCCAACGTTTTCCAGCTCGCATGGGCGTTGATCCTCCGCAGCTTTGTGGGCTCGGAGACCGTGTGCTTTGGCTATCTGCTCTCCGGCCGCGACGTCGCGGTTGACGAGGCCGACAAGATCATCGGGCCCTTGATCAACATGCTGGTGAGCCGCGTCCGGCTCGACGAGGGCTGCAGTCTGCTGGATATAATGAGGCAAAACCAGGCGGACTACCTGGACAGTCTCCAGCACCAGCATTGCTCTCTGGCGCAGATCGCCCACTCGTCAGACGGGCCGGCGGAAGCGCTGTTCAACAGCGTCATCTCGGTCCAAGCCATGGATCTGCAGAAGAGGAGCAAGGATGAAGAAGCCGGTCTCTGTCTGGAGGAGCAGGATGGCCGTGATCCAACCGAGGTACGTGTTTCTACCATTGCTTCATGCCCTCGCGCTAACACAGTGATTGCAGTACGACATCATGATGAACATTGGCCTTGGAGAACAGCAAACAGCGATTACATTCAGCTACTCCCCGGGCGTGCTTTCGGAGCAGCAGGCCGCCGGCATTGTTGACTCCCTGCTGCAGGCCGTGCGGGAAATCATCCTCGCTCCCTCCAAGACGGTCTCCCAGGTGAAGCTCTCGACCGACCATGACCAGCAGACCATCTGGATCTGGAACGCCTCTGTGCCGCGCACCATCAACGTTCCCGTCCACAGCCTGATCGACAGCAAGGTCCGGGAGCAGCGGGATGCCGACGCCATCTGTGCCTGGGACGGCGAGTTGACCTACGGGCAGCTCGACGACCTATCCACATGTCTGGCCCGTCATCTGCTATCTCTAGGGGTCTCTTCGGACACAGTGGTCCCTCTGTGCTTTGAAAAGTCCATGTGGATGCCTGTGGCCATGCTGGCGGTCATGAAGGCCGGAGGTGCTTCGGTATGCCTGGACGCGAGCCTGCCCGAGGAGCGATTGCGTGCCATCGCAACGCAGACACAACCTCGGGTGATTCTCTGCTCGGAACTGAACAACGAAAGGGCCAGCCGGCTGGGCGTCAACCTGAACGTCGTTGCTGTCGGCCAGCAATTGCTCGCCGAGCTGCAGGGCTCCGGCGAAACGGCAGCGCTGCCTGTGGTTGATCCGTCGCACCGACTCTACGTGACGTTCACCTCTGGCAGCACGGGAACCCCCAAGGGCGCCATCGTCACGCATGCCAACGTCAGCAGTGCCCTGGTGCAGCAGCAGGAGGCCCTGTCGTTTGGGCCCCATGTGCGCGTCTTTGACTTTGTGTCCTATGCGTGGGATGTGGCCTGGTCCAACCTGCTGCGCACGCTGGTCGCCGGCGGCTGTCTCTGCATTCCGTCCGACTCCCAGCGCCGACAGGGCGTTGAAGATGCCATGGCCCGGCTGAGGGCCAACTGTGTCACTCTGACGCCCAGCGTCGCTCGTCTGCTGAACCCGGCGGCGGTGCCGCATCTGAATACCCTGGCCCTCATCGGAGAGCCGCTCTCGCAGGCCGACATCGTGCGGTGGGCGCCTCACGCCGACGAGATCATCAACACGTACGGACCCTCCGAGTGTCCAGCCTGCGTCACCATCAATCGGATCCCGCTGGACACCGTGTACGAACCGACTCTCGGCGCGGGCTCTGTCTGCGTCACTTGGATCGTAGACCCGGACAACCCGGACCAGCTGGTCCCGGTGGGTGCGATCGGAGAGCTGTGGCTGGAAGGGCCCCTGGTCGGCCTGGGATACCTGGGGCTGCCGGAGCGCACCGCCGAAAGCTTTGTGGACGCTCCTCGCTGGCTGCGGGCGGGATATGCCAGCTGCCCAGGCCGTGGCGGCCGGCTGTACCGCACCGGCGACCTGGTCCGCTATACGCACGACGGGGCGCTCGTCTACATGGGACGCAAAGACTCGCAAGTCAAGATCCGCGGCCAGCGCGTGGAGCTGGGAGAGGTCGAGCACCACGTCCGTGAGGGGATCGCGCACGTCTCGCCGGCGACGGAAGATCTCACCGTCGTCGCCGGGGTTGTCACGCCGCGCGGCGGCAGCAGCAAGATTCTGGTTCTCTATCTGGGCCTCGGGGAAATGGCCACGGGCCCTGTAGACCGCATCCGAGAGGCGTTGGCACGCTACACCAGCGGGCTGGATGGGTATCTGGCGGACATGCTGCCCCCCTACATGATCCCTAATATGTACATCCCCGTCGCGGAGATTCCCATGACGACTACGGGCAAGACAGACCGAGGCCGCCTGGCCCGCGCCGGAGCCTGCTATACCTTGAGTGAACTGGCCGAGATGCAGCCCTCCCGGGGGCAGCGGCGGCCCCCAGCCACCGCCATGGAGCAGCGGCTCCAGCAGCTGTGGGCGGCGGTGCTGGGGCTCGATGCCAGCGCCATCGCCGCCGACGACAGCTTCTTCCGCATCGGCGGCGATTCGATTGCAGCAATCCGCCTCGGCCAGCGGGCCAGCGAGGACGGGCTGGCGCTGACGGCGGCGGATATCTTCCGCAAACCCCGTCTCTGCGATCTGGCTCTCCTCCTGCGTGAGGCCCAGGCCGCGTACGAGGACCCCCATCCCTTCTCCCTGGCTGCCGGCATCGCTCCCCTCGTGCAATGGCCCCCGGAGCACATCGCCGACGTCTATCCCACGACGGACCTCCAGAACGTCTACGTGTCTGCGGCGGTCAGCGCCCATCGGGGCGAGGTCGAGTACATCTACATGGATCTTCCCCAGGGGGTGGACGTTGCGCGCGTCCGTCGCAGCTGTCTGGACCTGTGGCACCATCTCGACATGCTTCGCACGGTGTTCATTGTCGACGGCCAGGGCCGTCGACTGCAAGTCGTCCTCGCCAACGTGGAGCCCGACATCGCCGTGCATCACACCGAGGGCGATCTGGCCGCCGCATGCGAGGAAGCCTACAGCGATGATCTCCAAGTCTCGCTGAGCCTGGGCCGCCCCTTCACGAGGTTCTTCGTCGTCTCCGCCGCCGACGGCCGCGCGCGATTGACCATCCGGCTATCGCATGCCCAGTACGACGGCTTCAGCTTGCCCGTCATGTTCTCTGTCTTTGCGGCCTTCTACCGTGGCCAGCCACCGCCCCGGGCCCCGAAGTTTGCGGGCTATATCCACCATGTGCAGACCCAGCGACAAGCCGCGTACCCCTACTGGCGCTCCCTCTTACAGGGCTCCTCCATCACCCAGACCAGACACCTGTCCGTGGCCGATATCTGCTGTCAGCCCGACCAGCTCGTTGGCCGGCTGGTGCAATCCAAGACCACCGTGCCGGCGCCGCGCGATCTGCCGGGATTCACGTCGGCAACGCTCTTCACGACTCTCTGCGCCCGCATGCTGGCGCACACGACAAATATCCGCGATGTGGTCTTTGGGAGTGTCGTCTCCGGCCGGTCATCGTTGCCAATCGGCCTCCAGAACGTGGCCGGGCCCTGTGTCAACACCATCCCCGTCCGTGTGAGGATCGAGGCAGAACAGTCCCTGGAGGAGCAGCTGGCCACAGTTCACAACCAGCACATCCAGAGCCTGCTCTTTGAAACCAGCCAGCTCAGCGAGATCGCCGCTCACTGTACTGACTGGCCCGCGGACGCGCAAACCCCCGAGCTGGTGGTTCAGTTCCAGAACCTGGACAACCTGGAGCATGACCAAGGCACTGAAATCCAGGGCATGAGCAGCACACTGGCAGCATATGAGCAGCGCAACCGGTCCGTGAACAGTGATTTCATCTTCCTCTTGGCCAAGCCGGTGCAAGACTCATGGGAGATATCGCTGTCGGCGAACTCCAAGCTTCACAGCCAAGAGACCCTCGATGCGATGCTCAAGGAGTTATGTTTGCACATTGAGACTATGAACTGAGTTGGTTTCGGGTTATCATGTTATTTTTTCTTCGGTCAATTTATATTATGAGGAATACTAAAGTCGTACTTGTTCTATAGGATTGTAGGATATATATATATTTATTCCATGTGTAAAGTTACCACCATTCTAGCCTACAGAATGATGTTCCAAGCTCAGGTATAGCAGCTAGTAGCGAGAGCCAAATAGGTGTAAAATAACCATGTCTATATACTATTTACTGTTGCAGCAAAAGGTAAGGCCAGTGATTTCCACAGCTACTATGGATATAAACCCTAACCCTAACCCTAAGATACCGCAGCAGGTTCATACTATTATTAAGACTATATAATAGAGGTATTAGGCTGTTTCTCTTTGAGAATCAGGCTCTGGTGGTATTTAAATATAAAAAATATGATCAAAGTCTGGTGAAGGGGGGTGTTTGAATATATATATTGTTGTAGCCCAAGGCACACCTCACTCGGCTACTAGAGCCACGTGCCTGCTTAGTCACCTATTAGCTAGATAAGTCACGTGATGAGGGCCTACATCGGCCTGAATCCTGCCACTAATGCCACAACAACCGTCTCGCGTCCAACATATATTTAGATATATATTTTTAGGCAATGGAACCCTGGATAAAGTACTGTATATACCCCATATAACAGCCCTGCACAATAGTTTATTTAAACTGCTACAAGGCTATAGTGTAGTTAATAATCATATATATATGAAAAAGATCAAAAGATGATATAAAGACTAAATAATTTTTAGATTCATTATACAAGTCAATAGAGAAGCTGAAATTGCCATTTCCAAGTATACATGTATGTTCATTAGCTGTGGTATCTATTTCTTACAGGCCTTTCAACTGCATCACAGCCAGAATCTGGAGCCCTGTCGCTGAGACCTTTTGTCAGATTTATTGGCTATGTAAGGGCTGATCGTATGTAAGGATGTGCCTCAATCAACTGGCCTGACCCACCTGGTGCAATCTACGCATGTACAGGGCTTTCTGTATTAGCAAAGTCCGACCGGGATCTGAATAACACCTGTATTGCCCTCTAGGTTGAGAAGAATCTTGCTCCGTGCCGGAACTGGGCAGGAGATAAGAAGGCCAAGTATTCCACAGTGCTAACCAGTCTTATATAAGAGACTTTAATCTAAAATTTGTCCTTAATCTGTCTGTCTCTGTCCACCAAGAGAACAAAACAGCCCTCTAAAGGCTATACTACTGGCCAGGGTTGATATGCAAAAGTCACAGATAATAATGTCTCAGGGGGACAGCCTCCCTAAATGTCGCCTTTGGTTCTAACGCAGCCAAACCCTAACCCTAACCTAGTTGCTTTATCTACTAGTCAGTCTTAGGGTTAGTCCCGCCTGTGCAAGTAACTACGGCCCGGTCCGCGATGTGGCCGCCCTTTTAAGCCCTTGTCAGGATTAGACTTGTTGTGTCATTATTTTCTTTACAGATAAGGAGTAAAAGAGGAGGAAATTAAGATAGAAGATGGTTAATCTAAATTGAATAGAACAATATTACTATCACAGAATATCCATAAGACAACCTGATCAAACTTATCTACCGCGGGAAGCTCCCGTTGCCGCATCCCTTGCATACGCCCTCGCATGGGAAATGTGATCAGTCTATTATGACCCGCAGGGCTTCATCGCATGTATGATAATCTACGGTCCACCTTGACTATTCCACAAGATCTTTCATAGCAAGCCCTACCTTAATCCCATTGGACTTGTACGACATTGTCGTGACAAAACCTTGCCCTTTCACCCCCCATGGTCGATTGCGAGGAATTGCAGTCTACATTCACCGGCTATGGAAGACGAGTCCATTTACCCATCATTCCGACAATCAATACTAGTGACAATCAGTCTTTGCCTCTCACTGTTCTGCGTCTCCCTGGTAAGAGGCCCCTCTTCTCTTGCTCAATAAAGAGCCATTATGCTGATGTATTGTCACCCATCCCACAGGACGAAACAGTGCTCGCTACAGCCATCCCTCGGATCACAAATCAATTCCATTCTCTGAACGATGTGGGATGGTACGGAAGTTCGTATCTTTTCGTGTTCACGGCAACCCAGATAGCCTGGGGAAAGCTGTACACGATGTATCCTGCCAAATGGGTGTTCCTCATAGGGGTGACTATATTCGAGATAGGATCGCTTGTCTGCGGTGCCTCTCCCAGCTCCAGCACCCTGATCGCGGGCCGGAGCATCTCGGGATTCGGCGCTGGCAGCATCAACGCCGGCGCGATTGTGATTGTTACCAACACGGTTCCTATGCGAAAACGGCCAATCTATCTGGGGTTTCTAGGGTGTGTTCATGGAATAGTCAGTGTATCAGGACCATTGTGAGTTTTGCTTTAAACCCTAACCCTAAGATTTCGAGCTGATATCGTGTGAACAACAGGATTGGCGGTTTGCTGACGGATCATGTCTCATGGCGATGGTGTTTCTATCTCAACCCGCCCCTTGGAGTGATCACAATCCTGGGGATTATTTTCTGTCTACCTCATAACCAGCCCTCGTGCGGGCATCTCGGCTGGAAAGAAAAGCTTCAGTCCATGGATCTTCTGGGCTCAGCGTTCTTTATTCCAGGGATCCTGACGCTTCTGCTGGCCCTGGAATGGGGAGGTTCACAGTATGCCTGGGACAATTGGCGGATCATCATGCTCTTCATCCTGTCGGCTGCCTTGCTCGTGGTGTTTTCCGGCGTTCAGCTCCGCGTCCAGGGTAACGGGACAATCCCCCCTCGCCTGGTTAGGGATCGAAACATGCTGGGTCTTATTGCCTACCTTGTTGGTAACTGTGGGGGGTTGTTCATCTTTGTGTACTATGTAAGTGTTCTTTTCCCTGGCTGTATTCTGTGATAACCAACCCTAAACCTTCATATAGCTGCCGCTTTGGTTGCAAGCCATCAAGGGGTATTCCGCTGCCAAATCTGGCCTCGCAATCCTGCCTACCCAGCTGGGAATGGTTATTGCATCTCTAGCCGGGGGGCTCCTGGTCACCGTCGTCCGTTACTACACCCCCTTCCTGATCGTGTCCTCGCTGATGGCCGTCGCGGGAGCCGGCTTGCTGAGCTCACTGCATCCGTCGTCCCCCCTGGCGAACATCCTGGGATACCAGGTGGTGCTGGGCATCGGCATCGGGCTCGGAGCCCAGAACGCAATGGTCGTCCCGTCTGTGATTTGCGCCCCGGGCGACGTCGTCATGGCCATTGCGACGCTCTGCTTTCTGCAGATGCTGTCCAGCTCGGTTGCTCTGACGATCGGGCAGACGGTTTTCCACAACCAGCTGGTGGCCAATCTACGTCGCAGCGCCCCGTCCGTGGACGTGTCTCTTGTGGAAGATGGCGCGACGCTGCTCCGGCATCGCGTGCCGTCAGAGCTGTTGCCGTCGGTCCTGGGGGCCTACAGCAAGGCAATCACGGAGACGTTTTACGTCGGTATCGCTCTGTGCGCTCTATCGCTCCTTGGGTCGGCCTCCATGCAGTGGAAGCAAGTCCCTGGTAACAAGGGCGTGGGAGACGAGCAGGAGCAGCCTAGCGACGGCGATGTTTCTCTGCCTCCTGCAACTGAACAGAAGACGTGAAATTACTACAAGGGGATCTGCATATTGCATGTAATTCTTCTTTCACCCTAGGGTCCTTTATTAGATTAAAAATTGATGTATCCCTCCCATTCAAGGATTCTCCATAAGCCGTGGATTGCTTCAGAGTAACTATTCCTGTACCATTTCTTTGTTCCTGTGCAGTGTAACAGTCAAGTTCCTGGAATCCGGTTTCTTCGATCCATTGTACTGTCGATCAATCGGTGATCTGTAGACTAGATATGAGATCTAGCTGCAAGGGGCTCGTATGCGAGGGTCTGGATAGATGCCAGCTCGTCTTCATATGGGAGACCATCTTTCATGGAGGTGGTTGGCGTCCAGCTTTCGTTCGCCGTCAACAGGACTGAGCAAGAACACCTCAGCCTCATCCAGGATGACCGTTCTGCAGGAACTCCGGCTGGGAGAGCCGTATCCTGGTCGTGCAAACAGTCTCCTGGTTCACATCCCAACATGGGCCGACATGGTGGATTTTGGGCAGGGAAAGGCACAGATGAACCACGGCTATTCAAGGTCTGTGGTGCACCCTGATATTCGTCTGGTAAGGCCGTAGCACTCCCCCGAGCCCGTTGATCTGTCAGGCTGATGCTGGTGATGATGTGTCGGTTAAGCTCAGTTCGGAGATTCTCGCCAAGGTCCATCATGACAATAAAGAATGCACCCATTCTTCCCTTCTGCTGTTCTCTGGTGCCCGCGCCGCCTTCTCCTGCAAGCACTATATCCTTCTTCTCTCGCAGGCCAAGGACCAGCCAATCCTCGCCCATTCAATCCAGGTGTACCGGGTGGACTTCAGTACCTCTTCGTTGTGCCGTGATCACCACGCTCGCCCGTCTGGGACAACCCTTTACGCTGTCCTCTACCCCAGTGCGGCGAGACAGGATGCTCGTTTGTTTTGGCAGCGCGCTGGGCCAGGGATGTCATCGCGGTTAGCACAGCAATGCCTCCAGTACGGCTCTGCACCTCGGCTTCACGCGATGACTGCTCCTCCCACCACCATACAGAGCACCCCTGCCGACTCCCATCCAGTGTATGAGGAGCTCTGTTTCAGAATTGCTGGCTATTTCCAGCACCGGGCAGCTCAGCCCCAGGTTGCTCATCAGGTCGCTGCCTCCGACGTCTTCCTATATGCCTCGGGAATGGCGGCCATCTACCATGTGCATCAGTCCATCCTGGACTGGCGGAACGGGGAGTCCGTGAATGCTGGTCTTGTATATGAACCCACCATGAGGATCTTGCAAACGAAAGGCCCGGGATTGAGGTCCTATAACCTCGGAACGCAGGCTGACTTGGACCGTCTTGCCGCCCAGCTGGAGCAGGGATCTGAGGATGTTCGCGCGGTACAAGCAATCTGGTGTGAATGCCCCAGCAACCCAATCCTGCAAACAGTTGATTTGCAGTGTTTACGCCGGCTGGCGGATCAACATAACATTCTTGTAGTGGTAGACGATAGCGTCGCCAGCTTCGCCAACGTTGACCTTTTAGGAGTGGCGGATGTTGTCGTCTCGTCGCTGTCCAAGTACTTCAGCGGATATGCCGATGTTATGGCAGGAAGGTTTGTCCAACCCCCAAGAACCGACAGACACGAGGAACTGATGCTCTTCTTCTTCACGCATGCAGTGCTATTTTGAATCCAAATTCGAGGCACTACGCCGCTCTTCAAAGACAACTGTCTGCCACGTACGAGAACGGCCTCTTTGTCGAAGATGCGATCCGGCTGGAATCAAATAGCCGGGACTTTCTCACCCGCATGGCTCGAATCAATGAGACCACGCAGTACCTTGTCTCCCAGCTCCTGCCGCTCGTCATGGATCCCGCGAGCCCGCTGATGCGCATTTTCTACCCGTCCGTGTGCACATCGCGTCCGTACTACGAGCGTCAGATGCGTCCTGCCTGGCCAGAGGGGCCTCGTCCAGGGTATGGGGGCGTCTTCACGATGGAGTTCGCAGACGTCGCAACCTCGGCGGTCTTCTTTGACCATTTACACGTCTACAAGGGGCTATCGTTTGGTGCAGATGTCTGCATCGCGTCGCCCTATATGCAGATGACGGGGCAAGCAGGGAAGAAGCAGGCGTCTTCCAGCGGAATAAGCGAGACCATTATCCGTTTCTCTGTGGGCCTGGAGGAGGCTGAGGAGATTTTGCAGCGGATCAACGGTGCGCTGGAAGCCGCAAGTGTTGTGTATAGCCAAGGTTATTCGTCCCTGTAGAGGTGAACAGTTGATCAGCTTGGGAAAAGGTACTAGAATATTTTTAATAAAATTCTAGATTATTTATACTTGATTGATATACTTCTATTAAGAATATAGTATATCTATTAACGACCTTGAGATCTACTGGCCTTATATTAGATAATATAAGGTAAAAGCCTACATAAACAGATGGCTCGTCAGAAACTCTGGCAGCTGGGATGTCTGGTAGGGAGGGATTTGGGCCTCTTGGGAAATGGCCGGATCCGGGCCAGGTCCACGATCATCATCGACCTTCCGCATCCAGATCTTGCGATCCTTGCCCATCCTTGGTTCCCACCCTATACCGACAGACTTTGGCTTCCCGTCCGAGGAAAGCGAAAACTCGGCTGGAACAACGGTCTCGGCGCCAACTACATGAACCTTGGCAATGAAGTAGTCACCAGTGACGTTCTCAAAGGTAAGAGAGCAGTCAGTGGTACAATGGGTTCGGTTCGCGCGCAGCTTATTGTCAGTGCCCAGGTAGATATCCAGCTGACCATAGCCATCCTGCCAGTAAGTGCCAGTATAGTCCTCAACAGGGAGAGTTGGCCCTGGTCGCGGCGGGGATGGGAGATTTGGGTAGAAATATGGCACTGCATTTTCGTTGTACTGAATCATTTGGTCGTTTGAATCCACAAATCTGCCTCATATTTAGTCATTTGTCGCCTGCTGCTGTTCAATCAATGTTGGAAAGGAAATACGCACTTTTGCCTCCAGTCAAACCTTGCACCCGCTGGGATGGCCAGTTTTGAATCAATAAGATCATACGCCAGGCATGTCCCCCCAAAGTTTGACGAATAGGTCGAGTTGGCCATGGTGATTACTCTTAGGGTTTAGGGTTTAGGGTTTAGGGTTTAGGGTTTAGGGTTTAGGGTTTAGGGTTTAGGGTTTAGGGTTTAGGGTTTAGGGTTTAGGGTTTAG